TCACTAGAGCTAAAATTCGCTTCATCGTTTATACGATTATACTTTACGATGTCTTTTTACTTTCAAAAGTTGTTTGAACATTTTTATTGGATTAACTCTAAGGGTGGTTACGTGAAGCGCTCGATAGCAACACTTGCGATTTATAGGCAATTGCATCGATGCAAACGTGCGACTGCATCGATGAAAACGCGCGACTGCATCGATACAGTCTGTTATGTTGAATAATTATGTACGAAAAATCTGTATAGGTTTATGCACATTATTTTGTTTTGTTAATTGTAAATTTATAAATGAAATTTATAAATATATTACATAAATAAAATAGTTAATTATTAGCTTGCATCGCGGTTGTATCACGTCGCTGTAGCATCGCGTAGATGACTGTGCCTGCAGTAGTAAGTAATTAGCAACCGAATGACTAAATATACCCTAAAATTCATCAAAACGTTTTCTTACTTATTTTTCTACCAAGCCTGTTGCTAAGGTCTATCACTATAGGAAAAACTCTGTTGGCGCCTAACATAGCATATTAACACTTATCTATATGTAATTAATAGATTCAGGCGTTACTTTGAGGAAGGCCATGTAGTAAATTAATTTTATTCCGCGAACCCAGTGGAGCTTAAATCTTGCAAAATAGCTGCACGTGTGTTGAATCATTTTTCGTACAGTTAACTTAAAAAAATATTAATAAAAAAAAATTTAGTAACAATTAATTTACCTAAATTATTTACTTGTCTGTATATATTGTGTGACGTTTTCAAAATAACTCAACGGTTCTGCAACATCAAAATTTAAAATCTAATGCGAAAGCTTGTACTTTTTCACACTGTACTCCCACAATACTCTTCGAATAGATAAACCTGCGAAAGCCTCTAAAATAACTAAGCGGAAATCCAAATAGGGCACCGCCAATAATAAAAACAGGAAGAAGAATAAGTTATATTAATTACATAAAAATAAATGATTTTTAAATTTTTTTTATTTATTTGTTAAGAAAACCAACGGCGTTACATAAAATATTTGACATAGTGTATAGGCTAAGATAAAAGATATATGCCAGGTTTCTCTTATTTATAATATAATATAATTTATAAACGTACTGATCACTGTTATACTGACTGAATACCATTTGTAGATAGATAAGGGAAGACATCCTTTTGTTGTGTCAATTTTTTTACCAGACTCGAAATAAGATTTCGTCGGAAATCGAAAGGGTAAATCGAACAAGCGTGGGTGTAATCGAAATGCTGTCTTATTGCTTGAAGATAAAATGTGGTCTCAGCTAGGGGTTACCGAGGTACAGGTGTTAAATTGTATACTTTTGCACAGACGTGGTTCAGTTCAATTTAAAGGTACCATATAAATAACTAAGCAATAAATATGTATTAAGGGTAAAAAAATGAGTTTAATTTTGTTATTTCAAAGAAAGTCTTATTTAGACGTGGCTAATTATGTGTGGAATTAACATAACATTCTTCGGATAACTAAATAATAGGGTTTAAATATGAAATTGCCGATCCCAGATATAATACAACCATGCTGCTCTGTCACGCTGAGGTCCCGGGTTCGATTCCTATTTGTATAGCCTATATTTATTTCTTTCGAGAGCTTGGGTGTAATTTGTGGTTGTTCTATGTGTGTGTCCAATGTCAATGGCACTTGCGATACAGGGGTTCACCAGCTATGAGTGTGTGTGGAAAAAAAATGGATACTTATTACCAAAAAATAATGTAATTAGAAAATAATATTCACGTAGATAAAAATCAGCTATGCTCTCAAAGCACTTCAGCTACCTTACTGAAAGCTCCTTCCTTTCCTCATTCCTTTGCCGTGGAATAGTTGTGAATAAAGTTAGCTGAAGCTAATCGTAGACTGCTTCACTGAAACTAATTGTTTTCCTTGTGGATAATTTATCTAAATTGCGGAAAATACAGTCAACAACAATTATATTGGGGTAGTTGTGGTAGATTACTTTGCGGGTGATAAGATTTTTATGGACACTGTTTTGTCTTGTCACTAAAGCTCAATCACTGTGGTAATCGTTTGCAATTATCATAATTAATTTAAAATCCATATAATACTACGGTGTAATGTCGTGATTGCATAGGTTTCGAAGCGTGTAAGATAGACGCCTCAGGTGCGCTAATAAATTCATTGCACAATATTTAAATATTTTCCGTTTAGAAACGAAATATACTCTTACTGTAAAATTAGGTCCTAGTCCCCTGACGTAATTAAAAATATCTCTTATAACAATTGAATTAACCTTATTTTTCTGTAGATGAACGTAGTATAAAATGAAAATATTTCGAAATTTTGTAGGTTTTTTTATCCAGCAAAAGTTATGACAATTGTGTTTCGGTATCCATAGGTACTTTACTACCAGTATATTCTGTTTTCATTCAAACTAATATTATAAATGGGAAAATAACTCTTGTCTATTACCTTTCCACGCTTAAACCGCTGCATCAAATTTGTTGAGTTTATGTCCTTCTACTTATAACTTTTTGTCACAAAAATAAATTTTAAGGGGGGTGAAATAGAAGATGAAAGTTTGTATGGAGAACCAATCATTTCTCAAGTAACTAGTACAGACTACGCCAAGTACGCATATTACGCAGATGGAATTGTATTCGTATATTTTAATGGCCGTCGCGCGGTCGAAGAACGGAGTCCGCGGCGGCCGCCACGCGGTCGAAGAGCGGACTCCGCTCGGCGACCGCGTAGACAAAAGACAAGCTAGTGCCTTCCAGCTAAAAGCCAAATAAATAGAGCGTATTTTATTATTATTGATTACTATTATATTTTATTTTTATTGAACACGTCCACGCGGCCGCTGGGCGACGGCCGCCGCAGACTCCGCTCTTCGACCGCGCGTCGATCGTATAAACGCGCCCTTACCCTTCAAAAACGAAACGCAGTAATGCTCGCTTTACTCTACCGCTGGGCGGCAGAAATAGGTAATATTCTTTCATAAGGAGCTCTACTGCTACGAAATTTTATGTGGAGCATATCAAAACCAGTACGTTAACATCGAGTAGGATGAAGGCCAATTCAATGAAAGTAAATTTTATTAGCCTGAAATCAGGCTTAGCTTCATACACAGATACAGGATTCTGCTGAAAACCCCGTAACTTATTATTAAATAAATGGCATTTTTATATTTTGTTCTATTCATTTATACACGAAGAAATTGACATAGATGTTGAGTAGCTCCGTTACAAAATGGTAATTATGCGATCTTTTAATCTAAACAGCTTTTGCTAATTAAAAATTCCCCTTCCATTTCGTTTGATGTAACCAAATATCTTATTTAATCCGTCAAAGAGAATCCTACGCAAAGCCGATCTGTTTACGTCTCAAGTAAACTCCAGTTTAAGGAAAGTGTTTGCTTTCTTAACGAACCAAAGCTGCAATCAGGTGCTGATTGATACCTTGCAACTTCGAGGTGTTAGGAATAACTATGCTGTGCTGTGGCTTAAAGTTTAAGTTATTTTTATTTCAATATAACCTACTTTAAACTACATCTATCATATACGCTTATTTTTATGGAGATCATTCGACAATATTCCTAGTTGTTGGTGTATAAAATGAATGAAAAGACAAAAGTTTATAGACCATGCAGCCTAGTCTTTAGTCTTAATGGCCGAAGCCAAGTTTTCAGTTTTTGAAATCTGAGTATAGTTTTCCATCAGGCCGAAGCCAAGTCTCCTTTAAGTTTGAATCCCCTTCTTGAGATTTATATTTTCATTCCAAATATAACATGTTGACTTCAAGTCATGTCAAGTTTCTGTGGATATGGCTCCGTCGTTTTACACTAGGACTTCACCACATCAGGGTTGGAAGTCTCAGTGCCACAATGAGCGAAATTAGTGAGAGTTAGAGTCTTTTCATTAAATATTTTTTACAAACGTCAAATCAGTTTGTTAATTGATCTGACCATACTCGGGAAGGTTAGCATATCAAATAAGAAAGTCAATGGTCAAAACATTATGAACGAGCGCGCATCGGAACGTAAACAACTATTGTTTACGTTCCGCGTAGCGACAGCACGAACGACTACCGCTCTTTGTGAATTCCCAGTGAGACATTTAAGGTCATTCTGTACTTTTGAACTAATTAAAGTGAATGAACGAATTAGTTGCAATCTCCTGACTTTATTATTTAAATGCCATCTGAAAGAATTATAAGATGTCACCGGCAACGAGCCCCTTGGACGTATATGTATATTAACACACATAAATATTAAGAAATATGTACGTTTATGGTTTAAAAATAACTATAATTTTATTGTGGTTTCTCTATCCCCTTTTAGAAGAAATACATAAGGAAGTCTCATCTCAATCTTCAGTTTTATATTGTCGGAAAATGTATAAAGCATTTTATACACCTTGTTCTTCTTATCAGATCGATGGCATACACTATATATAATACTTGCCATCGTGGTGAAAGGATTAAGGTACTCGCCAATTGTTGCCGATGTGTGCCAGACGTACAGGAAAGGAAATGTATGTTGTGGAGGGAGGCTAATTTCGTGCACCCCACTTTATACTTTATATTGTACTGTATACAGGCGTAGGTACCTCCAGGAAAAATATTACATATTTAAGGGGTATCCAGAAGACCCCTTCTAAAGAGAAAATTCCAGACTAATGTAAATAAATAATAGTTCAGTATGATATTTTACCAATCACTTCAGTAACACTACACGTACCCACGTACCGCGTAATATATTATTAGACAACATGACATTCGTGATCCCAAAGTAAAACATTTGTGTTATGGAAATCGGAAACAACGACGGTACCACTTACGTTTTCATAATACTTTTGTAACAATCTCAACATTTCGTTTCTCTTGAAAATCAACCCTCCCGTTGCTAAATAAGATCACAACGTTTTAGTTAAAAAAATAATTTATTCGTTTATTACACGATATTAAAGTAAGTCATGAAATAAAACTTCAAAGACATCAAACATTCTATAGATGTGCGCAATGTTAACAATTAATTACATAGTACCTACTTAAAAAATCAACACTTACATCAAGAATAAGTATACGTATATTAAAAATTAATAATATCTTTCTCGGTCCAAATTCGCTAAATAGCTGTTGACTATTATTGTGAAATATGTAAAAAGACCTGAAATTAGAAAAAGTTTGTTACGATTATTTATTGATACAAAGATCGAAGAAGAAAAGTAAAGAAGCGGTTGGCCATATATAAAAACTGACATTGTCGATCTTCGCCATATTTTTATTTACTATTTTTACAAACTTGAGGCTGGCGAAATCCTAACAACCACGTGGAAGGGCGATAATCGCGAATGTTTACATGAAGAAACTTTTTTATATACTTTGAATAATCGTGTCTTCGAGACCAGAAACTCTCTCCATGTAAATGGGCCTTTTGGGCCGAAACTCGACCCGAGCTCACAAGCGTAGCGTGAAGCGTCCTCAAATTAACTTTACGGCACACAACAGCTACATCTGGTTAGTGAAATTAGGTATATATTATACGTACTTTCGTAAAGAACGCCGACGGCCATAACGAGAATCCCATGCAAAAATTCTTTAGTGACAAAACTGATCATAATCTTCATGACGATGAGGATAAAGTACAAAACTAAGATGGAGAAATGTGATGTCAACCACAATGAAGTTAAGAATACGTTACCGCCCATCTGAAATAAATTACTTCTCCGTGAAATAAAAACCCTAATATTAAATTTAACTAACTATTCAACCTCCGTGGCCGAACGGTTACCATGCTAGACTACCAATCGGAGAATGCGATTCCCGGGCCGAGAGAAATATTTGTATGGTAGGCCATTAATTTTTCTTGTGAATTTGGGTGTACTTTGTAGTTATCTACCTACGTGTGTGTGTGTGTGTGTGTGTGTCCATGGCACTCGCGATACAGGGTTTCCCTAATGCGGAGCTATGAGTATATGATGAATATTTTTTTTAATATTAAAAACAGCCACATGGTTTCCGCCTATCGATTAGGCAGGACCACATCCCTCGATGAGTAGCGTCAGTTTAAGGTTAATAAGGTTAACAATTCACAGAGCGTTTTCCATCCACGCCCGCCGGTGCTGCTAGACCGCGGTTTTATTTCAATACTCACGACCCTGCAAGTTTGTGCGGGCACGTAGCCGCCGCGGTTGCCGGCACGAAACCGTTGCGATTGCGGAACGGACCGCGAAGTTAGTGGGAGTTAATAGCAAGTCACGTGGTTAATAGAGAACTCACCTTGCGTGCGCCTGCACCACATTGCGCCTAAACCGACCGCCAAAGTGCGCGAGAGACGACGGCCGCCAAGCGCGCAGGTTATCGCGTCCTGCGCGGTTCTACTACCCCGCCGCGGCAACCGCGAGCTACCGTCGCCACTACAGGCGTAAAACGCGCCGTGAAATGTGCTACTTATTTTACATACTTAACTGTTACATTCTTCAGATGCCGCGGTCCCACGGCAGACGCGGGTGAAAACCGCTCCGTGAGTTCTTAGTGTAACGAAAAATGAGTTTCAGCGCCATTTAACGTGTAATAGTTAGCTATTATATACTAGTAGCATTTTTACTAAAACGCCACCTGATGGTGAATGGCTGAACCAGGATGAAAAAATATTGAAATATTGTAATAGAACTGTTATTCAAGTGACTGTAAGTTTAATTTTGTTAAATTTTAAAATTGGGTTACGTCGTTTTCACGTTTTAAGCCCTACCCAACCAAAATCTTTAAGTTATGGTAGTAGATAATAGAGCGTAAAGTTTGAATTGCACAAAAGCTAAAAAGTGGTGACATCGGCACCCATTCTTACATAGCGTCATTACATATCTCCCCTTTTTTTCTATATCTATGGTGATCCCAGATCAGCCAGTGTGCAGGATTGTTACAGACCTCTGTCACTTGACTTCATTCGGTTGTCAAGAGGCTAGTGCCTGGGGTGAGCCGCCCCGGGTGCACAGGACCCTTCCTATTTTCTAGGTTGCCACCGCTAAGCCGTCGACACTAAATCCACTATCAAATCTCCTCATGGTGGCGGAGAGGTAAGGCACGCTCACTTCCCGACGCCGAAAAACGACGTCTCTCCAGTTCCCAATAACCTAAGCTGCTGGAGGGATCGGAGGATATCTAGCTTATCCTGTACTAGCTCTCCGGACTAGTGCCGGAGATAAAATTACAGGCACACAGGACTTCAGGGTGACGAGCGCAGTGTCAGTGCCTTTTGAGCTGCATTGCAACTGTAATGGACAGGTGTATCGCTTAGCGTCAGACCCACGACTTGTTCGTACTGTCACTTGATATTTATCATAAAAAACACAATAATTATGTAGTCATACATTGACTATTTCTCCCGCTAAATGGCGCATAAATGCTGGTGCTGTTGGACTGTCAAACTTCGTAGTATACTTAAGTTAAGTGTAAGAAACGTTGAAAACGTTCGTAGTATATTTAAGTTAAGTGTAAGAAACGTTGAAAACGTACAAAGATGGATTTATAGAAACGTTTTAGTGTTTTGTAATACCTGAAAAATATAATATGCCACGCCGATTTCAGGCCGCCGGCGATTGAAAGACTGTCACACGCCGCCACCAACGATTATAAGATCGGCGCATTTACGTAGGCGATACTTTGAGTACTAATGAATTTCGATCTAATCAGGTACAAAATAGTATTAGATTGTATAATAATTCCCGAAAAACGCTCTAATTTTTAGAGCGTTTTTCGATATAGTGCAAACATATTTTCTGCCCTTGGTAATTATATCTGGCTATTAAGCCACATGTAATCCCATGTCAAACGTGCTTTTACCGCATGAGTCATAAAAATAATACGAACTACAAGAAATAAATTATATAAGTTACGTGACATGTTATAACTTTAGGAGAGCTTAAGCCTAAAAAAGCATGCAACTAATTTTGGTCGTAGAATCTTTAAATGCCTCTCCTGAAAAGTTGACATTTTGTAGACAGGGCTTCATTACAGAATAAGATTTTTGGGGTTTCTTTGGAGCATATTAAAGAGTAAACATACTTTAAGTGACTGCCACAGCAACAGTAAAGAGACGGCAATTTGGTAACAGGACATACAAGTGACAACCATTGCGATGATCATATCGACTGCTGGACCGGCCTGCTGTACTACCAGTGACGAGTCCTTGCTCGACATCACGTGCAGGTACGTCACACATACTATGAACACTATTACGGAGATTAGCTGGAAAATATTGGCAGACGTAGAGATTGCTTGTACAATACAGAGGCTTTCGCATTTAATCATAATTAAATAGAACATTTGGTGAAGATTAAGGGACAAGCTAATTAAAAAATTTAATAACGTCGTTGGGTCGCCTACAGATTACGACGCCTATAAAAGCGCTGCAGTGGCGCCACAGCGGCCTTTTTTCGGTGAATGGCAGATTCTGGAAACGGCTGATTCTTCAAACTGCATATGTGCAGTCAACCAAACAAAAACGTGAAACAGTATCGTAACATGAGAAAACTATATTACGGTTGCCCCAGTTTACATTGACGTGGAATGTTCGAGCACAGGTAATCACTTGAATATCTTATGGAACACTTGAAATAAACCATAATTAGCACAGGAATTGTCAATAGGTATCACACAAAAATATTGGCGTTGCAGCCGCAATTTTCATACACTATGTATAATAACGCACACACTCAACATAGCCCCGCACTAGGGAAACCCTGTGTCGCGGGTGCCATGGACACACACATAGACAACCACAAATTACATCCAAACTCACGAGAGAAACAAATGTAGATCATACAAATATTTCTCCCGGCCCGGGAATCGAACCTGGGACCTCTGCGTGGCAGTCCAGCATGGTAACCGTTCGGCCACGGAGGCAGTTAGTTAGTTATACAATAAATTTCATACGCGCCACTTTTGCAGACTTGTTATTGTATGAAAATTAGTAGTGGCGACTGCCACAGACGCGCCACTGCAGCGCTTCTACAAACGTCTAATTTGAAGGCGTCCTTAGGATCTGCATTCCACAACTGCACTGCAACTTTAAAATAACAGTCCGAATGCAGTCAGAGAGCAGTTTGCATACACTTCGCATTGTTTACGCTAGTAATGAAAAGGAAATTGAGAATCTCTTGGCTCATAATTCTAAAGTTCTAAGCATCGGTCTCTTATTTTTTTAAACTGACTTTGACCATACGAATTCCCATCGCATTTATACCGCGAAAGAATTTACCTGCTTGATTGTTACTATAAAAGTAAAATGTATAGGCGTGGAATGGTACATGATTGAAACCACTAGGAAAAAGCCTGCTGGATATCAAGTGCACTAATCTATACCTCTAAACTTCACTATATTAAATGACTCTTAATATTTGACAACCTCCGCAGCATTAGAACTCCTTGTGAGAGAGTTCGTCCAGGGAAGTACTGACACATTACCTATTTCTGCCGCCAAGCAGTAATGTCAGCATTACTGTGTTCCAGTTTTGAAGGGTAAGGGTGCTGGTGAAATCACAGGCACATGGGACTTGTCAACTTATGTCTGAGGGTGACGGGCGCAGTGGCAGTGCCCCTCAGATCTTTGCGATGTAAAGTTCTGAGTGGTACTGCAATTGTTATGGACAGGCGTGTCGCTTACCATCAGGCGTACCACTTGTTCATCACATCACATGATATTATAAAAAAAACCTCAGTGGCCTAACGGTTTACATTGTGGGCCGGTAGGATAAATTTGAAAGATTAACTTTTCTAAATTGGTTCTGGGAAATGGATCAAAATTCCGTTACTCTGGTACTCATAATAGAGGGAATTCCCTAGTTCGAGACCAGGCAATTGGTGTAATTGTGTGGGACATATTATATATTATTATTATTATTATATTATTGTGACATCTATTTCTACCAGCCAGCCCGCTCTATCTTTAAAGTTAAAGATGCACAGCAGTAGAACTACATTGTTACTCATATAAAACTTACAATCGTAGAAATGCCCACAATTATAACGCCTTTATTCAAGCTAATTCCGAAAACACTTTGCACTAAGCAACATCCTCGGTTCTGTTTCTTGCCTGGCATTAACAAATATTACGTTCATACACTCAGGTAGTACAATTCAAATAATAAACTTTAATTCAGTAGTAATTTACATTGTACACAACAATAATGACATATATCAAATTGACATTTCAAAACAGAGATTGTTTAATGTTTATTATTAATTCCATAATGGCGGATTATGTTGCATTATTAGAGGATGGAAAAAAATATGGTAAATGATGGACAAATATGTATTTGTTAATTATTTTTTTTAATTCTTTCCGTCAAGGAAAAGGCCAAGATTTTGAAAACTGTACAGCCAAGTCTTAGCAAAATTGCTTTTGTTAGTTTTAGGTAAATAGGCATACGTCAAGTCTTCGGTCCATTGTTTATTATAAGGCACGAAGCGTCGTCTTCGATGAGTCATCATATCAGAGGCAAAATAAGCTTTTTTTGGTCTGGGCAATTTATCCTACAAGTAATAATTTAAAACAATTCTTTTGAATGTGCTAAAAGAAATCAATCAATTTGTACGTTTGTGTCTTTAGGTATTCATAATCGATATTAAAACTGCGGTTTACTATCGTATTATAACCCTTTACATCATCTCCAGTATGTTATGTAAGTACTTAATACTTACTATACACTTTTATCTACACACATATCATGAACCCTCTATGATGTGTTCAAAAACCGCAAATGACGACCAGCTTAGATAAACTGTTTTGTTATGACAAATTTCTAATCTGTGAAAACCATGAAAACGTTATTATTGCATAAAATAACATCAAACCATATCAAACTCAATTTTATTATTACATTCATTTTTCGAACATCTCTGAAAAACCGAAATCGACGTCAATTCTAATATCAGTCGAAATGAGGTTTTATTCGAATTGAAATGTCTATAGCAAACAATTTTGACAAATTTCGCTCTTTACTTGATATCGAACGATATAATAGTTGGGGCAGACTCTAGTTTACGGTTCGGATGGTTCTGTTCCTTTTTTTTCCATCCTCGTTCTGTGACATGGGTGAGAAAAATTTTTGTTTGCCGCCGTTTCGCTAGTCGTAAGATGCGGTTCCTGAACACATCATAGAGAGCTTATACTATGTATATGTATAGATAATATGGTAGTGTGGGTTTATAAAGACATGACACGAGTGTTTTAATGCCTAATTATTTACAGTCACCTAAACTACTATTAAGATGCTTTTATTTTCACAATGTCAAACACAAAAGTCCAGCATAAAAGGCCAAACGGCCAGCTGGAAATAAGAAATTAAGATGATGAAGATCCATTTCAATTAAGTATCCGGTAATCGACGATGGGATCGTATATAATAGTAAAGTTATGCGACATTCATGTTATCAAAAAGGTATAAATATTAAATACATATTATACAAGTAATATAAAAGTAATTCAATTCGCCTCGTTTAGGTTGCGTATGGAAAAATATTATTCAATTCGACTTGTTTAGGGTTGCGTATGGAGAAATATTGTAATATATAAGATGTCAGTTAATTGATTGAAAACTTTGGAGTAATTTCACGAAAAAGGAATGTAATGTCATGGTGGTGAAATATCCTGACATTCAATAAGCTTAATTACAACTTTTGAGGGGTTATTTGATATCGGAAACAATTTGATGGGAATATAATTAAAATTAATGATAATATTTTTTTTACTTATACACGTAAACTAATTACACTACCTGTAGGATGAGCCTACACTAAATGACAATTGATAAATGATATATGTATATGATAAGACAAATGATAAAATCATATCATTTATATGTCGCCTAAACAAGTGGCTATAGTACAAACAATTTTAGCAGGTCCCAAATAGTTTTTTACGTAGTTGCATGATGAGCGTTCGTATTCTATGAGTATTCCGATTTTAAAACCTAATTATGTAAAAATTCGTACGTTTTCTACGAGTATTCTAAAATAATCAAACATCAACAATATATTTAATGTATATTTTGTTGGTAATCCACGACAGCAAACTCAAACTAAAGCTAAACAAACACTACAAAACAAAAAACCAAAGATAAAATAGAAGCGTCTATTATTGGCCAAGTATCGCTTAAATTTTAACCACACAATAGAGCGTTTGATTAGCGCCATATTTGATATTGCTTTTAGATAGTTCTTTTTTGCCAAATCAAGCTACACATTGACCGATCTTGTTCGGGGCGATACTCGAACAAAATTGTATAGCTTGATGTGCCGTTAATTGTACATAAACTTTGTAGTAACATATTCAGATATTATTTAATAAAATGATTTGAACCTGTGACCTTATTCTGTTCAGGAACAGAGCGATGTGTTTAAGGAAACTCTTTTAATTCGCAAAGACATTCGTCTTGAGACACTGAGGTAATTTGGACGCAAAGATATTTTGTAGTAGCGGGAAATCCGAGCTGGATTCGACGAGAGATCTCTTTCTCAAAGTTGGACTTACCTTAGATGAAATGATGCTACCATCATCAGTTTTCAGCTTCATCAGTTGGCTTTGCCCAATAGACAGGTCTCTAGCGAACACTTTGGAGCCTTTGTTCCGCTCAATGGCCTCTTCAATTTAACTGCCTCTGTGGCCGAACGGTTACCATGCCGGACTGCCACGCAGAGGTCCCAGGTTCGATTCCCGTGCCGGGAGAAATATTTGTATGACCTAAATTTGTTTCTCTCGTGAGTTTGGGTGTAATTTGTGGCTGTCTATATGTGTGTCCATGGCACCCGCGACACAGGGTTTCCCTAGTGCGGGGCTATGTTGAGTGTGTGTGTTATTATTATTATTATTATTATTATTACGCTCTGTAATAAATTGGCGTATGTCGCTAGTCAAACACTTCGATATCTACCTATTTAGCCACCTGTAGTGACTTGCATCCTCTGAGTTCTGTAGCCTCATTTCATGTCTCTGTTCCATCAGTTGGAGTGTTTTGTCGGAGAGTTTCCTCGTTCTGGTACGGTGGGTTTTGAAAAAGTTGGACCCAACCGTACGGACAGTATCCACCACCATGTTGTTTAGATCGTCCACATCTATGCTGTTTTCGAGGGCTTCGAAGCGGTTTTGAAGTTCGAGTTGAAAGCTC